CAGACTTAACGGCTGATTCACTATCGTGGAAGGCTGGGCAAAGACAGGTATCTGCTGCGAAAAATAGGGGGGGTCTAAGAATAAGGTTGTTGCGGAAATATCCCCCTTAATGTTATTGCGGCGCAACAAACTATTGTGGCTGATGAAATTGTTGATGAGGACAAGGACCGGCAGAAATTTGGGGTTGCCCCCTCTAGAACTGTTGGAACTTAGAAGGATTCTTATTTACCATGTAAAAGACCTCCGCTGGGTCCTGAGACTGCTCAGATGAGCTCTTAGCGACCTGCGGGCTAGATTAGTCAATATAGGTGTACTTCTGAGTGGCCACGACTTCATTGATTACTTGTTTATTCTTTTTGTTACCAGTGAGATCCTGCTTCACGAGCTCAGCCAGCTTTTTAACTTGGATAGACAGATTGTCTATCCGTGCATCATGGGAAACAGTGGCAGGAACCTGGTATAGACCACTAGATGGCTCCGGCCTACTGGCTTCTAGCCAATTTGTCTTATTGACAACTATCTTTTCAATTAAGATCCTCGCTTTGAAAGGGCATCACTGCCCCATGACCGAGCTAACAACCTTCGAGCCATAAAGACCAAAATTTCGTACCATATTTAAAGCATACTTCGTTTGATTCATAAAGATTCCATCAAAACACTACTTGATCTGTAATTCCAGAAAATGTGTGAGGTACCCAATCATACCAATCTAGAACTCAATATCCAATAATCACATATTCCTTCCTCAAGGATTCACCTGTGGATCCAAATACAATGTGATCCACGTATATTTGTGCAATCATCAAACCTTTTCACTTAAGCTTGATAAACAATGTTTTATCAGTCGAACCTTAAATGTATTCCTTCCTAAGACATGCAGTTAGATAATCATTCATACTATGCTCTTGAAGGTTGCTTCAAACCATAGAAAAATTTCCTCAAGCGATAAACATGATCCGTAAGTCGGCTATCTCCATGGAAAGCTAGCCTTCAATTCAATCTTAAAGTCGTTTCGCACCGTTGACATGTTTCCCTTCAACTCGGCCTTCAACCCATTGAATGTTGACAATGTGTTATTCTCGACCTCCCCCATTCTCCTTGAGGATTCCCATCCGCTCTGTTGGGAAGTGATGTATCGAAGAAATCTCCTTCGAACACCAACAGAGGGCTAACTCCCGAAGCGTGGACGGTTCATAGTTAAAACAACTACTTAACAACAAATAACAAAGCATAACACAAAACAACATGAGACAAGGTGTTTGTTGACCCGATTCGATTATCAACTAATCTACATCCAAGGGATACCAATTCAAGAGTAGTTCCACTAATCAGTGCTGATTAAGGACAAAGACAACCACAACTCATTCAACCCTAATGCTTATCATGGTTAACCTAGGAAAATACCTCCACAGTTTCACGTTGCTACAAACTCATACTAACAACGATCATACAACAAAGATGTTCAGAGCCTGATCATCCCCTCCAATTGGAACTCCATTATCTCCGATCACCGTCTACCTCTTCGGTGGATTTTTGTGTCAAAAACTCATTCAAACTGAGGAGAATCGATATGGATAGAAGGCGAGAGCTTTTTTCAATTTTTTTTTCTAAAACATGCTCTCAAACTCACTCACTACCAATCTTCAATCCTGTCCAGTTGAGTAAATAATTCACATTCTTGGAATATAAAATCTCATATTAAATTCCCTTTGCACCGAAATGGAAAGATTGAGTTTCCATGTTTTGACATTTCCTCAAATATATCATTTGTCTTTTAGAAAGTCTTTGCTGCAAAAATTAAAACACTATTTGTCCCTATGCCAAAATAACTTAGGGGAATTTCCATTAGCACGCTCAATGGATTTCCGGATGGAATCTCAATCTTGGACACTTGGGAATCCAAGCAAGCAAAGAAGTCACAAGAATTTCTATGCATATCATTGGCTCCATCATGGCCATTCTTGTTGTTTCTACCCAACACATTTTTGTCGTCTCCACCTTGCCAAGTCGTCGTTCTGATATCATGTGTCACAGATTAAGTTCAATCCGTTCAAATAACCATACACCCTTTATCAACTCACTATGTCGCTACTAAGGCAGACTTTCTGTATTGGCTAAGCACCCCAAAAGCTAAGAGTTTCTAGAGAAAAATGGTTTAAAGAGAGAAAATAAAGAGAACTTTGAGAGTTCGAGTTAAAATAAGAATTTAGTGATTTAGAAGTGAATAGTGAGGTCCTTCTTATAGGTTAAGAACTCCTCTACACTATTCTATAATGCACAACATTATAAGTTTTATATACAAGTATCTACGAGGATCCATGGGGTTCCAACACGATTCCATTATGTTCTGCAAGACAAAAAAGATTTGGGTGAATTTTATAAGGTATAGAAGAGAATTTAGATATAAATAAACCACCGATTTGGGACTTTCAAAATATTTTATCTATACATATATATATGTATTTATATATATATATATGTGGTGCAGGGAGGGGAAGATATTTACTTGGGACTTTCAAAATATTTTATCTATACATATATGTGTATTTATACATATATATATATATATGTGGTGCAGGGAGGGGAAAATATTTACTTGAGGCAAGAGATTCCATAATAAAAATAAAAATATCCAAAGTATTTTTATGTGGAATTTATTCTCAATTTGTTTTTATCTAAACATTGTGTTATATATGAATTTAAATTTTTATTTTATAAAATATATCATATTTAAATTATTATTTGAATAAAAATTCAAATTAAAATGAATTTAAATTTGTATTTTATGTTTAAATAATAATTAAATATAATGAATTGTAAAAAAAAAAATAGCATATTATTCTTAAAAAATTTTAAAATTATACATTAAATGAAAAAAATGAAATAAGCAAGCGAAAATACACCCCTATATTACAACTTCAATAAATTAATGTATTTATTCATACTTTGAAATAAGACATTAAAATATTAATCCAAACCACAAACAAACATGAAAAGTGCTCAAGACAATGTCAACATTAATTAATTATTGGGTATTTTGATCGTGCCCTAATTGAATATGTTCCTCGATAATATACTAAAAGTTGGGTCTATTTCTTAGCTTCATCCATCGGAATCTGGGAAATCATTTATTTCCTTTAACCCAACCAAATACTTAATGCCAATTCTTAACCCATTTACTTAGTCTCGTTAGTGCGAGGTAATCGAAGTGGTCTATTGGTTTGAAGGAATTAGTTGAGTTAGGTTAGTTGTATTTTTTTTTTTAAGTGTAGAGCAACTGTTAAACTTAATAATTAATCAACCAGCAAGGAGTCTAAGTCTAGAGAACATAATGCAAGCGCTACGACTGTAATAAGTGGGACTACTAAATACGAACCAAGCTTGATGGTAAGTACTATTAAGCAAGTAAGACGACTAAAAGACAAACCGGATACCAACAACATAAGTAATAACCATATTACCTAGCGCCGAAATCTGAAACTCGAAATACTAGCCGCATCCGTGCGAAGAAATCCACGCGCCGCCGGCGGAATGTTGACAATTAGACTTGATTTAAGAAATAAAATTACCAACCTTTATTATTTCCAATGATAGTTGGTAGGGGTTGGTGAAAGAGTAGGTGGTCTATCATGCATTGAACAAAGTCTATTTTGTGATTTTCTATCTTGATAGGTAGAATTAATATTGGTATTGGTAGGTAGAGTTCATGTTGTATAAATAATTGTAATTTGCAAATTATTTTCATCAATCAAGTGTCTTTTCTTCTAGTTATCTCTCATCTCCACTAAAGAAATCTTCTTGTATTTCTTTTTTATTATTTTCTCTTAGTGTTCTTCCTTCTTATTTCAATACGGAATTTCTAATGAGCTAAGTATCCGGTCATGTGAAATAGAACACGCAGTTGTCAACAGTGCGTCTGCCACTCGATTTTCCTCCCGATAGATGTGTGAGATCCGCCAAGTAATGCCACGCAATCGCAATTGAAGTTGGAGGAGGCACTCCTGCAAAGTTCAATGTCCTGCCGAGGAAGATATGAGTGTAATGCTACTCAGCCAAATCTGTCTCGATCCATGCATAACGAAGGTTTGTTTCTTTTTAGAAACCGTGTGTTACCGTATAGGGAGGGAGCTTTGGAGATTAAGTTTAGAGATACACGAGATGAAATATTCAGAGAGGCGAGAGGAAGAAGTTGAGAGCGAGAAACTAATGAGATTCCATTGAGGTTTTTCGATGAGTTTCGGTAGATATTTCTGTGAGAAATCAAAGCTCTTTAAGTGGTCGATTTTTTTTGTAGGTTTTGTGGCTTAGAGTGACAGTCTACTTCCACCTTGCGGCATGATTACCATAAGTAACCCCACATTTGGGTCTGAAACCGTCCCTTCGCCGGAATCTGTATTGGAGAAGGTCAGCTGTCTCTGCCAGAGGCATTCGCGAAGGAGACCAAATCAATTTCGTTGCTGTTGATGCTGCGGGATGGCCGGAGATGATGACCGGAGCCGATGTTCTTGGAAGCTTGTCGCATCTCTCTTGACCCAATCAATTTTGTTTTTGTTGCCATTTGAAATTGAAATCAAATTTTAATAAAAATATATTATTGGATGCTTTTGTTTTATAAGATTGTTGGAAAAAAAAATTATGTAAAATATAGAAAATTAACTAAGAAATATAAAAATAGTGAATGTGTAGTGTATTAATTTTTTTATTTTGGGAAAACGTGTGAAAAGAAAAATTAAACAGAACAAAACCATTATGTTTTTTATAAAATATTATTTGATAAAAACTTAAATTATTGATACATTTTAAATAAATTTTCAACATTAAACCTTCAAAATTGGAACTGTGATTTCATTAATTCACTCTTGAACTACATATGAAAAGTAAAAAGTTGAATCATATTACAAAATGTGAAATGTACTAATCATCATTATATATTCTAAGTGAAGTGTTCCTTTCTAATTCCCCTTTCATATCCATCCACACATATTTCTGAATTGTTCTCATCCAGAAAAGCACAAATTAACTGCACCATCTTTAAATCAAATGTTTATATTAATTAATACAGAGAATTACGACGGTGTATTCATGCGTTTATGCTTTAATAATGTAATTTAAAACAATCAATTGGAGTACGTATATATCAGAAGAGAGACATTACAAGCAGCAGGCAGCCGTTATTTTTTAGAGAAGAGTCCCCCAAGGCCAAGCCCAAACCCGCCGCCGGCGTCCTTCTTCTTCTGCGGCGGCGCCTCCACCTTCCGGACGCCGGCGGTGCCGCTCTTCTCCTCGACCTTCTTCAATATGGGATCAGTCTCAAAGAACTGGTCGTCCTTGGTCAGACCCCCCAATATGAAGTCCAGCAAACCCTTCTCCCCGCTTCCGCCGCCGCCGCCGCCGCCGGCCTTTGTCGCCGTCGCTGCAGTTCTGATTACTCTCACCCTTTTCTGTTGAATAACAATGGGAGAAAAGAACACGTTCAACGAAGCCATCTCCTCCTGTCTTCCTTCTTCTTCTTCTTTCGGAAATAGATAACTTTTGGTGAATATTATATTATTCTTATTATTAGTGAGAAGAAAATTTCAGAGACGTGTTTCGAGCACAAGCGTCTTATCTTCTTCCTTGCCAATTTTCTGAGCTTCAATTTATTTATTTATTTATTATTATTATTATATTTTAGAAATGGAATTCATCTGGTGTCAAATATGACACGAATACGTTTTATGTCTGCCCCAATAAAATGAATAATTTTTAGTCTTTTTATTGTTTTACCAATCCGAGAATTTTCCTTTCCCAACTAGGCATGCCAATGGCTCTAATTAGGCTATGTTGAAATGTGACTTGAATTTAGCGGTCTACTCGACCCGAAAACGAAAAAGTTATTTCAATTGACAGAATTTTTTTTGTACTTATCCTAATTAATAACAAATAGGTTTCGGGTTTATGGTGTTTTGGGTATTTATAAATAGATAGCTATGGTTTTTAGTCGTAGGATATGATTGTAACTCTCTGAATCAGTATAATAAAATGTCTTTGATTCCTGCCCATGGACGTAGGTTGACACACCGTCACCGAACCACGTAAAACTTCTGTGTTCTTTATTTGCTTTCTTTCTCATTTTCTTATAAGAAGTGGTATCAGAGCCATATCTGATTGATTGAAGATGTCCTCGTATAAGTTTGATCTGGAGAAGTTTAATGGGTCGAATGACTTCACGCTCTGGAAGATCAAGATGAGGGCACTTCTAGTTCAACAAGGATGTGCGGCTGCTTTGGAGGGAGAAGACAAGTTTTCTAAAGACACGAAGAAGAAGATAAATAAAAAGATTTTGGCAAGGGCTTATTCCGCGATCTTGCTGTCATTTACTGATGAGATGTTTGGGAAGTTCAAAGAGTGGAAGACCATGGTTGAGAAACGGACGGGTAAACAGGTAAAGACTCTAAGAACTGATAATGGGTTAGAGTTCTGCAACGCCCCATTTGATGATTTTTGCAAGAAAAAATGTATAGTGAGACACTGCACTGTACGACACACACCACAAAAAAATGGGGTTGCAGAGCGAATGAATCAAACCCTCATGGAGCGTGCTAGGTGTATGCGCATATTTGCCGACTTATCTAAGCAATTCTGGGCTGAAGAGTTAACACTACTAGCTATCTGGTTAATAGATCTCTATAAACTGAAATTGACTTAAAGACTCCTCAATAGGTATGGTCCGGTGAACCCTCTGATTACTCTAATATAAGAATATTTGGATGCCCTGCATACGCTTATGTGAATAATGGTAAACTGGAGCCGAGGACGGTAAAATGCATATTTCTAAGGTATGGAACAGGAGTAAAAAATTATTGACTGTGGTGTATAGAAGGTAAAAATCCTGGTAAATTTCTTATTAGCAGAGATGTAACCTTTGATGAATCTGCTATGCTTGATCAAAGTAGAGGTTGTGAAAGTATTGCAGGTACAAAAGATTGTGGTGCTGAACAAAGGGTGGAGTTTGAGACTCCTGACAGAGTTGTGTTAGAGGAAGAGCAACAGGATAATACTATTGATCAATCCAATCAACCAGATCAGTCAAAACCTTAAGGGAAACTGGTTGAGGGGGAAGCTGATGACGCTGGTATTGGGGTTGAAGATTCCATAGCAGCAAGAAAGGGAAAAATAAATATTCAGAAACCAGCTAGGTTTGCAGGATGTGTCAATACATTTGACATGAATTCTGTGGCTTATGCATTGGCGGTTGGTGATGATCTTGACTCTGATGAGCCAAAGACATATAAAGAAGTTGTGGCGAGTAAATATGTAGAAAAATGGATTATAGCAATGAATGAAGAGATGCAGTCTCTTGAAAAGAACAAGACTTGGGATCTTGTTGCACTACCAAAAAAGGGTGAAACCAGTGGGATACAAGTGGGTCTTTGAAAGAAATGAGAGAATTCTTGGTGTTGAACCTGCTAGGTTCAAGGCGAGATTGGTGACAAAAAGGTTCTCACAGAAGGAATGAATAGATTAACATAAAGTCTTTTCTTCTATGGTGAAACACAAAACCATCCGGATTTTTTTGGCAATGGTGGGTGCTTTTGATCTGGAGCTGGAGCAGCTTGATGTAAAAATAATATTCCTTCATGGTAATCTAGAAGAACGGATTTACATGTCTCAGCCGGAGGGTTTCAATAGTTCTAAAGGGGACCAGGTATGCTTGTTAAAGAAATTTGATTCTTTCATGGTGTCTAATGGTTATTTTCGTAATCAATTTGATAACTGTGTTTACTCAAAATAAGTTTCTAGTGATTCCTTTGTATATATGTTGTTGTATGTGGATGATATGTTAATTGCAACTAAAAACATAGTTGTAATTAATGACTTGAAGGCTCTACTAAAGGGCAAGTTTGAGATGAAGGATTTGGGTACGGCAAAGAAAATACTGGGTATGGAGATTTGGCGTGATAGAGAAGTAGAACGACTATGGGTTTCTCAAGAAAAGTATATTGAGAAAGTTTTGCAGGCATTCTCTGTTGATCAGTCCAAACCGGTAAGTACCTATTTGGCGGCACACTTTAAATTTGATTGAAGTACTATATCAGCTATAGAGGAAGAGGTTAGCTACATGAAGACGGTTCCATATTCAAGTGTATTTGGAAGTCTTATGTATGCGATGGTATGTACGAGACCAGATCTCACTTATGCGGTTAGTGTGGTGAGCAGGTTTATGGGTAATCCGGGTAAAGCTCACTGGGGAGCTGTAAAGTGGATCTTGCGATATTTGAAAGGAGCGTCTGATATTTGTCTGGTATATGATGATAAAGGCCATGGTGATGGTCTGGTTGGCTATACAGAATCTGATTACGGGAGTGCCTTGGTGAAACGAAGATCACTAACTTGTTTTATCTTCACTTTGTTTGGATGTGCAGTCAGTTGGAAGTCTACTTTAGAACCTACGCTTGCACTGTCGACGACTGAGGCGGAATACATGTCAATGACTGAAGGTATTAAGGAGGGTATCTGGTTACATGGTCTGGTGCATAGTTTGGATCTGAAGGTGGAGAAACCGCTATTATTCTGTGATAGAGTGTTTTGAGTTTGGCTAAAAATCCAGTGTATCATGAGGAAACTAAGCATATTGCTATAAGGTTGAGTTTTATCCGTGATGAATAGGATGAAGACAGGTTTTCTATTCAGAAAATAACTACAGAACACAATCCAGCTGATATGTTGACAAAGGCGCTACCGACGGAGAAGTTCGAGCACTACTTGAATTTGGTGAATATTCGCAGGAGGTAAAGTCCTCTCGGGGCATCTAGTAGGAAGGAGACGACTGAGAGATACTGACGAACCTTTGGCGGTTGGAGAAACTCCAAGTCAAGGTGGAGATTGTTGAAACGTGACTTGGATTTAACGGTCTACCCGACCCGAAACCAAAGCGAAAAGACTGTTTCAGTTGGCAGGGTTCCTTTTAGGCTTATCCTAGTTAATAACAAGGAGACTTAGGCTTTAGGGTGTTTTGGGGTGCTTGTAAATAAATAGCTATGGTTCCTAGTCGTATGACATGATTGTAACGCTCTGAATCAGTATAATAAAATCTCTCCGGTTCCTGCCCGTGGATGCAGATTGACACACCGTCACTGAACCACATAAAACTTATGTGTTATTTATTTGCTTTATTTCTCGTTTTCTCATAACAGGCATAAATCCCAAAGTTCATCAATTTTTCAATATAATTTTCAAATTCGAAATCGATTCCGTCAAAATAGAAAAATATTCATCAGATTTGATTCCATGGGTTCAATCAAATCAATACATAAATCCACCAACTAAATTCAATTGACTGATATTTCTAATTTAAATATAATTTTTTTAATTAACAATAAAATAATATGAAATAATTAGACAAAATCATCTAAGACTGAGCATATAATTCTATACATATATTAAAAAATATTATTATATATAGACATTCGGATTAAGTCCGTTATGGATCAAAAATAAAAATATTGGATCAACAATCATATAAAATATACAATTCAAATCAATATAAGGTTTCCAAAAAAAAATATTTATATATACGAATTTTGGATCGAATCCCACTCAAAACAAGACTAACTATCGGACCTAATGATAACACATCGTATGTGTTTTTCAGTTTGCAAAAGGTGTTATTGGGATTGCAAAAATACAACAAATTTGTGCAGTGACCTTATTGGTGTAGACTGGACAGGCTATGTAGGTTGGTTGCACAATCCATTTTTTTTTGTGCTCACAACGATTGGAAGAGTAAAAAATGTTGTGATTGGAAGAGTAAAAAATGTTGGTTAGAGTAATAAATGTGTTGTCTCTTTTACCACAAAATATCTCATACTATTCTCATAAAAAAGATAATTTATTAGTTGTTTCTTGAGTCAACTTTGAAATTGGTTAAACAAATTGAAAATGCAGAGTTGGAATTGAGTGACATTTAGAATACAATTCTAGTAAGAGAAAGTGATTTTAGTGTTCTCCATCCAGTTCCACTCATTTTTATATTTTGAAGGATATTAAGATGTTTAAGGTTTTCATAGAGATCACTGGAAAAAGAAGAAATCGGAGAGCCAATTAAAGATGTCGATCAACTCGTAGATTGTCTTACTCTCCGGTAGTGGAGTACTGCTGGTGTTATTGTGGCGTAGTAACGACCAATTATCTATGCAAGATTTGCAAGATAAGGAAATGAAAGGTTATCAGTTGAAGAAGTGTTTGTGGTTGATTGAGTCATGTAACCTGATCGTAGGGTTATAGTGAACACTCTTATGGATTGTTATCCCCCAAATGTAGATTTTTTATAAACGAACTGAGTCAACAAACTCTTGTGACATTTATTTCTTTGGTGGATTCAAATTTATTTTGTTAACACTAAGTTATAGTTACTGTGATTTTAATATGTTGTAATTCTTACATATTTTCAATTGTGGGTCGCAACATTATTGTAAATTTACTCGGGGAGTTGGCCCTATCTGGAGTTCGAAGGGAGTTTGTTTGAACCGATTTCTAACATCTGGTCTCAGAGTAATGTCCTCTACCTACTAAGTTGATCAATTCACAATTCAAAATGAGTATAGAGAAGTTGGTTCCACTACCAGGCCTCTTTTGTTTGATGG